AAAGTGCATTTAAAATGCCCAATAATTATGAATTTAAAAGATGTCTTTTGCTTGCTTGTTTTGTTTTTTAATCTGTTCATTCAGGTCATGTTTTGAGGAATGGATATGAGGAGAGAGATGCATTGTAATGTACTCCCACTGGTGTGCTAGGCACATGGAGAGGGCTGCTTTTTAAACTGCTAAATAAAAATGTAATTTGAGGTGATTTTTTGTCATTCTTGTGAAACTACCCACTGTTTGGCTATTGCTGTGTTAACCAGAATGATTAATCCCTTTGGGCCTAAAAGGTTCCATGTTTTTACCATTGGAATAGAACAGATTGTAGCAGATGACAACTTGTATGCATAAGTAACATATTGTACATGAGGAGATAGTATATATGTATTAAATACAACTCAGTATTGATTTGTTTACTCAGTTATGTCATCACTTCTCTTATTACTTTATCATTTGCATTCTTGATTATGAGAACTATAAGTAAACACTTTCTCAGATACCTCCTTCACTTCTAGGAATTTAGGTTTATCAAAGGAAAAAAAAACTTTCCTTGATGTTAAAATTTGGCCTCTCATAAAACTTGAAATTGAGACACTTAAATGATAAGGAGTCATTTATATAAATTGCCTAATCAGCTGAAATAGTAAGATAGGAAATGCTACAGTAATATAAATCAGATTCTGTCACACACTATTTACTGCAGTAACGTTTAATTATTTGCTGAAACACAAGAGCTGTACTTTCCAGAAAGTTTTATGTGAAGTTAAACTAGAGGAAAATAGAATGTACAGTTTGATAATTTCACATAATTAAGTTTCTGTAATTTTTCGAAGAATAAATGAAAAAAAAATTATGCAAGCAAGATTATCTTGCAAAGATTTAAAGTGGTAAGGGACACTGAAATGTATCTGGAATAAAATATAATATTGAAGAAATACAATTCTGCTATTCTTTAGTTTGCTTCCCATCTTTGCTGGGAAGAATTTAAAATTAAGTGTAAGAACGCAGTATAATTGAAATTATTCTGTATGTATTCAAAAGACTAAGTTGTAGGTAGAAGTAATAACTTATATAGTACCAAAGGAGTTGAAAAAAATCAGATAAGCTTTCAGGCACCTAAAATAGAAGCCTTGAGCTTTAAAGCTTACTACAAGTTGAGAGCTGATAATATGCTGAGATATTAATTAGATTTTTAATAGTTAGACTCAAAAAATGTTCCTTGACAGCAGTACAGTTAAGGTGATGCTAGTCATGAGGCAGGAAAGAGGGGTATTAAGGTAGCAGCCTCTTAGGTAAAAGAGAAATAAATAGTTCATAGGTTGTGGAACCGGGAGAAGTTAGTTGGAGCCACTAGAACGTGCTATGAAATCCAATCTTTCCATGTGTTTAAAGGCATCTCCAGGTGCAGAGAACTGAGCTTAGCCAGCATCGTGAGTGAAAGGTGAGGTATGTCTGGCTAGTGGCCGTTGAAGAGGTCACAACTGTAGTGTCAAGACCCTGACTCATTCTCCTCTGTGCAAACAATGTCTAGAGAGTGAGAGTGAGCGGGAGCTGCTTCACAGGATCTCTGCTGAGGTGGGCTTTTCTTGGATGATCTTTGAGTGTCTGGCAGGGCTGGTGTCAGAGCTGCTTTGTAACAATGGCACAAAGCAAAGTGAAGCTAAATGTACAGGTAAATGTGGGCCACTGCTTCTTTCAAGACAAAACCATGAACTGTCCAGGCTTTCGGACCTGATGTTCTCACTGAAGATGAAACAGAGCAGTGACAAGGTTAGAGAGTTGCTCAACATTTGTTCTTCAAAAGGAGCTTGGCAGCTATGGTGCTTTTCTATCAGTGAGACAGTTATGTCTTAAAAAATGAATTACAGATCTGTCCTTTTCTTTTCGTTCTGTATTCCACATCCATTTTGCTGTTACTTGTTTCCTCACAGAGCCAGCATGTGTCATTCACAGTGCCATGGAAGGGTTGCTGTCTGAACTCTTGGCATAATCTTTATTTACTTCTGAGTCAAAGTCTTCTAAGACTTCACTTGTTTAGATGTTTGAATTCAGACTTCAGGATAAAGCTAAAAGCAATCACTGTACTAGGTTAAATAAGAGAAGCAGCATTTAATGAGCGGAACTCATTATGGCTGTTATGTGACAACACTAAACAGATTTGCAAAATAGATCAAATGTATCTACAATGTCTTTTTTTTATAAATATATTTTCCAAAAAATGGTTTTCCTTTTAATATGCACTTCATTGTGATTGGCTTCTGTAAAGCTGTCATCATGCAGTGAAATCATCAATATGTCTGTTACCACCACTGATGTTATTAGATGCAGAAGGCATCAAAATTCAGATCTTGGTGTAATATTAAGTATCTTTTAAGCCTTACCCACACAGTGGCTTATCGCAAATTATTATTTATAAACCTGGTTGTGATTTTTTTCCATGAAAGAAAGTTTAATAGTATTGATGTGAACTCAAGAAATAGGAAAGAGACTCATTCTGTGTATAAAATATGTTTGTATCTTGTTGCATCCAGACTTTTTCTCCCCTGTGCCGAATTTCCGATGCAGGTAAAGTGAACAGAAGAACAACATGTTCCCTTGAAATCATAGGATCATGGCATAGTTTGGAAGCCAGATGTGTGCCTTGAGAGATCTTGCTTTCTTTTCACTTTCAGAGCTCTCAGCTTCTGTCCTTCAAGTTACTGGAGACCAAGTAATAATGAAATTGAGATGTGGTTTTCCAATTTTTGAAAAATTTGGGAATAAGAACTGTCTCTAGAAACACCTAAGATATAATTTTTAAGCATGTTTTTATTGGCTCTATTTTCAGCGTTAGAGGGGAGCTGTTGCTAAAGGTATGTTTAAAATCCTTAGCAAGCAGATGTGAGCTTATTCTGTTCACTCTTGGGTGCAATTCAGGTAGCTGTGATAAACACAGTGCAGTACACAGAATAACAAATCCTGCCAACAGGCACAGTGTGAATTAAGCAGTAAACTGCTGTACCCATGCAGCTCCTTGGCAGCCCTGAGAACGAACAGAGTGGGTTTGTGCATGCCTGTAAAATAGCACATGAATATGGAAACTCTTTGTCCCCCATGAATTGGAATTGGAAAATATTAATGGAACAAACTAGGTTATAGCTAAATGATTATTCATTTCAGTAAAGATACCCCATAATTCTCTTGATTTATTTCATAGAGAAAACTAATTACATTTAATTGAGTCATGACAAAATATAACAGCTTTTATAATGGATAAGTCCTATTTATTTCTGTCCAGACATTCAAAACATTGTTTTACAGAACAACGATATTTCCTTTTGGCAGAGAGCTATAAACATGTCATCCTAGGAGAAAGTCTGAATTTTTGAAGACCATCAATATCAAATAACTTTCTTTGGGGGATTTTGAAATAGTTACATTATAAAAAAGGTTTTTCATGAAGTATTCAAGGCATTAATTTGCATTGAACTTTGGAAATTGCCCAGGTAGCATCAAAAAGGGAAATGAATTGCTAAGGCTGAGAACTCCCATAGACATTAAGAACAATAAATGTGACACTGCAAGTGAAATTTCTGAGATTTTTGGAATAATGTTATGCATTTCTCTTCAGAAATTCAGAAAATGCTGTGTACTTAACATCCTAGGCCTTTTTCAATCTTTCTTTTGTAAAGAGAAGGTTTCTCAGAGAGAGAGAAAGCCCTCTGTCCTTTGATAATAATGGTGCAAGGAGGGAGTTCAGGTTGCTATTCTTTCTGTCTGTCATCTGAATTGCTGCTTAACAGATAATAATAAACAAGAAATATTTTTTTCCCTGGACTAGTCCTAGCACTTGGCCACCTGTCTCAAATTCCCTATTAATTTCATAATCAAGTTCATATTTGGTGGATTGGACTGATTGCTGTTTGTAGATATGCTTATGTGACGCCTGCTTGCAGTGTTGGTTGGAAGTCTATGATAGTGTCCAAATACTGTCTGGTCCTCATAGCATGACTGATTTAATTTTGTTTTCATGGGTGCATGGCTAAAAATTGAAGCAAAAAGTTTAAGAGATCTGATGAAAGTCACTCCCTGTAAATTGCAAGATGTCACCAGTTTGCTTTACCTCTGCTTCTCAGCGTCGCACATTGTTCACCCAGTTCCACTTTAATTTTGCTCATTAAACCTACCCCAGCTTTGACACAGAGCCTTCTCCCCTGTAACAGCCTGTCAGCCTTTCTTTATCTCTGAGCATAGTAATGCTGCCAAAGAGAACGTAATTTTTTCATACCTGGCTTATAGTATCTTAATTTTACTCTATAATATTATATCTCATTAATTCTAATATTAATGGATTAAGCTCAGAAACTGTATTTGAGTCTAAGATGCCTTGTGAAATAAAATGCAATTATCTTGAACTGTATTGTTTCATTTGTTACTCTTCCTCATAAAAGGCTATCAAACATTGCTTTTTCTTTTAAACCCTTGCTGGTTAATGTTTCTCATGTAATAGACAAGCAGGCATGAAAGTAAGTCTAAAATGAAAATGTTTCCTCGTAAAAATAAGAAAATTCGATTTGATTAATTTGACATTTATGGAGATTTCTTGTCTGATAAACTAAACAGGTTCTTGATTTGTATTTTTATATATCTTTGATTTTTTTTGAGGAACAAACAAGCGGAGGAAAAAAATCTATATATGTGAGGATCAGCTTTCTTCACCACTAAGAGCACTAGCTTTCTCTTACTGTCTGTATCATGGATGGAAGCATTATTGCCTATATTTACAGTGAAAAAAGATGTCTGTAATTTTTTTACAAAAATACTGTGTGACTCTCAAAACTGCTTCTGTGTCACAACTGGATTAAGCTATACTAGTAGTTTTTTTTAAAATCAGGAATATTTTGGTTATCAAGAAATATCTGCAGATTAACAAAGTGCTGTTTATATTTGCAGAGACAACCTTTGCTTGCCTCAATATTTTTGCTTTTTTCTCTTTTTTTTTCCCCAGGGCACAATATAGAACTATGATAGCAACCGGAGGAGTCATAACAGGACTGGCTGCCTTAAAAAGGCAGGACTCTGCCAGATCTCAACAACATATAAATCTTGCCACAGCACCAGCTTCTGAGGAGAAAAAACCAGTTAAACGCCGGCCCAGGACAGATGTAGTAATCGTCAGGGGCAAAATCCGTCTCTATTCTCCATCAGGATTCTTTCTTGTTTTGGGAGTGCTTATCGCATTCTTTGGAATTGCAATGGCCATCCTTGGATACTGGCCCCAAAAGGAACAGCTTTTAGGGTCTGAAGATAAGCTATCTGTAAATGAAACTCGGATCCTGAGAAGCCAAGGAAGCATTTTAATTCGCTTCTTTGAACAGCATGTGCACTCGGATAAGATGAAAATGCTGGGCCCTTTTACTATGGGCATTGGAATCTTCATTTTTATTTGTGCAAATGCCATTCTGCATGAAAACCGTGACAAGGAAACAAAAATAATACACATGAGAGACATATATTCCACTGTAATAGACATCCACACCCTAAGGATCAGGGAACAAAAGCAGCTGAGTGGTGCCTTCACTGGCTTGTTGGGGGAAGGAGAACTCAGGAGCAGCGGGAGCTCGTGTGCATCACGGCTGGCTGCAAACACGGTTACGCCTTTCTCTGGCTTCAAGAGTAATCTCAGAATAGACAGTTCTGCTGAAGAAGATGAGATTACTCCAAATGAAGATAGGACCACTGGTAGCCTTCTGCCACCTCTGCTGACTGAGCAATCTGGTTCAGTTTTTGGACTTTACCCTCACTCCAGCAAGACTTCAGATGACAAAAACATGAGCTCTATAAAGTGTGAAACAAAATCCATTGTATCATCTTCCATTAGTGCTTTCACACTGCCAGTAATTAAACTGAATAACTGTGTTATTGATGAGCCCAGTATAGACAACATAACTGAGGACTCAGAGATCATTAGGAGTCACTCTAGAAATCTGTCAATGGATTCTCTGGCCATTCCACTAGCTGATGCCAACGAATCCTACAGACCTGTCGCTGCCATGCTGCCACGACACAACTCATTTGTGGACACTCCTTCTGATCAGTTCAAATCTTCTATGACTCTCGGACCAAGCACGGGAAAGCTTTTATCTCCTGGTGCTGCCAGGAAGCAGTTTGGTTCCAACACGTCTTTGCATCTTCTGTCTTCACATTCTAAGTCCCTGGACTTGGACAGGGGTCCATCTACACTCACTGTCCAAGCTGAACAAAGGAAACACCCCAGCTGGCCCCGACTGGATCGAAGCAACAGTAAAGGATATATGAAACTAGAAAACAAAGAGGACCCAATGGATAGGTTACTTGTGCCACAAGCAGCAGTGAAGAAAGACTTTACTAATAAGGAAAAGCTTCTTATGATATCAAGATCTCATAATAATTTGAGTTTTGAACATGATGAGTTTTTGAGTAACAACCTGAAGCGAGGAACTTCTGAAACAAGATTTTAATATTTAAATCGCAATTTAGAAGATGTCATACAGTATTTTTTAAAAATAGCATTTTGACAAGTGTTTCCTTTCCAGTGAGACTGTACAAGCCTGTTTTTAACCAAATGCTTAATAGCCCATTAAAATTGGATTGTGTGAACAGAGATCTTCATCTTTGTAATGCCAAGAGTTTCTTGTCTTAGTAACATACAGCTGCAATACTGTACATTATCATTGCTAGGACAGTTTGGTTACAGCTGATTCCAATTATTCCCAAGTCATTATTTCTTTTGTTCTATATAAGCATGTTACTTTTTATCAGTTTGGCTCCAGAAGACTGCATTAGGAAAAAAGCTCCATTTACCTGTAAGTTCTGTTTATTTAAGGGCTGCAAGAGTCTGAAAGCAGTACTTGCAGTCTAGAATGGGAAGTGAGCTGGAGCACATACTGGAATTGTCAAATCCAGGCCTTTACTCCTAGGTGTTGTCTTTCACATGCAGTACATCTTCGTAACTGCAGTCTTGCCATTGTCATTGTGAGAAACTTGTTTACATATTGGTGTGGGTGGATAGAAAAGAGTGAGTATAATTAAAACCATTTTTGTGAATTCATTGTAATTGATTGAGCTGAATACCAGTGTTGTGAATTATTAACTGCTTTTTACAATGACCTTTCTACATCCATTGTAATTTAACCCTGTAATTCTGAAAAAACAAATATAAGTAAGCAATCTGAATTTTTTTTCTGAGATTAGTTCTCTAAACCGCTTTGATTGACAGCAGATTTAAAATCAAAACAGAAATATTCAGTTAAAACCACAGGAATGCTAACAGGATTTGAGAAACATGGTACATAATAAGATGATATTGTGACATGCTTCTGAAGACAATAATGGGAAATGAATATATTGCCTCTTATTACAATAGCAAGAAGCTAAATAACTAGATCTCTATGTTCAAAATACTGATGCAATGCATACAATTTAATATGTATACTAACATACTATGAAAGCCTCTTGCCTAAATTTTGATTTATATATTTTACATAACTATTGATGTGATGGTTCACCGAAGGCTTAGCTGTGGCAATTTGCATTACAAGATTTTGCAAAAGGAAGTGACATTTAAAACAATGTTTTTCTCAGCAAAGAAGGCTTCACAGTTGACAGTTGTAGGCTATTGCTAAAGAAAAGGAGAATTTGTGCATATCAGAAGGTTTTCATGTATTTCATTAAGGTATTTAGGCCATGATCCTGCCATGACAGCCACACTAGAGAATGTCACTTCAAGCTGCAAGGCTCACCTAACAGGATGTTGGTCTTAATTGGTTGGATTTGATATATTCACTTAACCTAAATACTCAGGAATTATTTTTAATGACTTTTCCCAAAAAGAATCAAGCCTGTTAAAATGTTGTTATTCTTCAATTACTTTGATTACAAGAGATCAAAGATAAAAATGCTCTCCCTTTTTTTTAAAATATTCAGCTCCATATTTCAACTGCTCAGCATTTACGTATCGGGAGCATTATTTGCTCAGTGAATTGAGGCATAGGATTAACTGTTAGAACCTCAAGCCTATATATTGTATCAGAGTTGGCTAAATATTTTGCTATGAAGCTTTTAATAATTTTCTGGTTTGTGTTCTGAAGACATTTGCTATTTTTGAAATAAAATGTCTATCTACACATATCCGTTGTAAGACCTATTTTTTCCTTTATGATCTCAAATCTTCCATATCAAAGTCGTAATTAGGTGTCATAACATTCTATATAACCTTGTGCTTAATTTATTCCTCTGCCACATGACTAATTGATTTCAGTGAAATGCTTGCACATGTAAAGGATGACATTTTTTTACCCATGTAATGTGAAATGTATTCAAAGTGGGTTTTGATACAAGGAATTTTTGTATAAAAAGAACATCCTATGCTTTTTAAATTGGCAGTAAATATTTTTATAAAAATGGAAAACACTATTAAAGACATGAAAGATGTAAGCTTTTTGTTTCCTTAATAGCTACATTAAGTCATAGCTTAAAATACTGTTTTTCACAGGCTATCACCCGTGGGAATGATGGTCCCTTTGTAAGTATAGCAGGCCATGAGCTTTTAATTTTAACAGAGGTAACTGGTACTGAAAAATGTACTCACTTTGGAAAAAAATACCAAGGTAAATCTACCAACTTAAAGCAAGAAATCAAAATAGTAGCATACAAAGAAACTCTGTGATTGACAAACCACCTACAAAAGTACTCCCACAGTCCCATATCATTCAGCCAGGCTTCATAGGAGAGGCACTTCAGTCCCTTCATTGTCTTTGTGGCCCTTCACACAATGGCTCTGGTATGTCCATGACTCTCTCACACTGAGGAGCCCAGCACTGGACCCAGCACTCCAGGTGTGGCCTCACCAGTGCCATGTAGAGGGGAAGGGTTTCGTCCCTCAAGGTTAATGTAGGACATTCCATAGTTTCATATTCCTTTTTCATGGACTAAGAAGATAAACCTTACAGCTATCCAGAGGAAATGTTATAGTACTGCGTTTACATGGCACAAGCAATGAGTTTGTCCTTTCCTCTGCCTAAGACTATAAAAGAATATATTTTCTACTTCTTGAGTAAGCATCTTAATCACTACCTATGGATCAGACTGATATTTAGGTCTGTCCATCACTCCTGCGCAAAGCTCATTTATTGGGCAACTTTCACCAGGAAATAAAGA